GCAGGAACACAAGCAGGGGGGAGTGGAAGAGGGAGAAGCAGACTCCCTGCTGAGCAGGGAGCCCAGGTGGGGCTCGATCCCAGTACTCCGGGATCATGACCTGAGCCAAAGGCAGACGCTTAACGACTGAGCCACTCAGGCGCCCCCCTTTCTTTCTCTCCCTTCCTCCCTTCCTTCCTTCCTTCTTTCCTTCCTTCCTTCCTTCCTTCCTTCCTTCCTTCCTTCCCTCCCTCCCTCTCTTTCTTGCTTTCTTTCTTTCCTCTTTAAGATTTTATTAATTTATTTGTCAGAGAGAGAGCACAAGGCAGGCAAGGGAGAAGCAGGCTCCCTGCTGAGCAAGGAGCCTGATGCGGGACTCAATCCCAGGATCCTGGGATCATGACCTGAGCTGAAGGCAGACACTTAGCTGACTGAGCCACCCAGGCTCCCCTGACTTTATATATTCTTAAAATCAACTCATTTTTAAGGTAATTTTAAAGGGAACATTTAAATCACTATGTAAATGGAACACCAGTACTTTTTGCCATGAATAACAATAGTAATAGCTAATATATAAAGCTTATTTGCCAAGTTTTAGTCTAAGCTCTTCAATTTATATAATAACTTATTTAATTCTCATAATAACCCTATGAGGTAAACACTATAGGTCTTATTATCAATCTGTTTTACAGTTAGGAAATACAGAGATTAAATAAATTGCCTGAGATCATAAACTAACCAATGGCAGAGCTGGGATACTAGGTAGTACGGTTTCAGGGTCTGTGCTTTTATATTAAAATAGAAGGTACCTTTTTATTTTTATTTATTTTTATTTTTTTATTTTTTGTGAGTAAAGCGATGGAAGTTTATTAAGTGAAGATATAGAAAAAGCTCTCAAGAGTGAGAGGGGTCCTGACAGGGTTGCCACAGGGTTGCCAATGAGGGCCTTTAGGGTTGGTTTTTTATAGAAAGCTAACCAGGGAACTTAAATCCTTTTGACATCTCTAGTGATAACACCTTCAATGGCTTACTTCTTTTTTAGGGGGTAATTATTCTTTGTTGGTCACAGGTGATTATCATAAAGACACCCACCACACACCCCTAGGGCAGGGTGGTCCTCCATCCCACCCCACACACCTAGAGCAGGGAGAATGTACCTTTTTAAATGGAAAGGTCTTAGGAAATATGTGACTATTAAGAAAAGCAGTCTGCATCCCACCTAACATCCCCTTCCATATTATCTATCTTACCTGAACTTTATTTTTAGAAACGCTGATTTAGGAAATTGGGCTGGCAGTTTGTTTTACTTTGGACATGCTAGGGTGAAGTGGTACATGTGGAAGGGTGCCTAGAGTTCGGTAGGAGTTAGTTAAGTGAGATCTTAAAGTAGCCTTGTACCAGGTTATGCCTTGTTGAGAATTCTGGATAAGCAGATCAGCAATGCACTAGGTAAGTAAGTAAGATGCAACTGAATTGACGTGGTGCTCCAGGGAAGTGTTTGCCAAATCCAGCAGGTTCTCAGAATCCTCTGGGGATCTTATTACATAAACAGATTCCTGGGCCCCACCCCTGGAGTTTTGATTTGTTATGTGTAGCATGGAAGAGAGAGAGCCTCAGTGAGAACTTAGTGTCTGACACACAGTAAGCAGTCATGTTGTTAATAGTAATAACTGTCATTTTATCGCATGCTTACCTCATACCGAGTGTTCTATGTAGATTATCATACTTCTTTCTTGAAACAATTCTTAAGAGATAGGTTTTATTTTTAGCCCTATTTTTTGGATAAGGAAGAGACATTAGGAGGTGTCTAGTATGCAGAACCAGGATTTGAACCCATCATCTCCTCCAGCACTATTATTATTCTACCCCACAGTGCTGACTTACCATTGTTTATTTTAGCAAACCCAGTTTTTGAGTTTGACACTGGCTGTTTGTAGTTCTCCCTTCTAAAATTTCCAGTGATTTCACTTCAACTCTTGGTTTCTAGAGAAGCAAAGCATAGGAGACATTAGGTGACTTCTCTCTCACCCTCTTCATTTTTTAGAAAGGGAGGCTTTGAAAGAGGAATGTGGCTTGCTCATGGAACCATTTTTAAAAGTTGGTGGCAGAATCGAGATTAGGTCCTGTAACTTCTAGTTTGGGATTCTTCTAGCAGAACAGAGGAGCCTGCTTCCCAGAGCCCAAATGCAGCTTGTCTGTTTGCCACTGTTGTCTTCATCCACGTCCCTCTGGTGCTGAAACTCTTTCCGCGTGTCCTTATGGTATTTCTTGTGCTCTTAAACTTGTGGTTGATGGGTGGCAAGGAGACAACAGGGCTGATGAGAGATGGGCTTGGGCAGCAGTGGGCCATGAGGCAGAGAGGAAAAAAGGGCTCTTGGGGCAGAGGTGGAGTGATGAAAACCTTGAGCTCAAGAGTGTGAAATGTGAACTTGGTGCCGACATCTAGTGGGGAGATGGGGCACCATAGAGGTGGATGTGGTGCTGGTGAGGCCAGTGAGTAATTTTAGCAGCGATATTTTAGGGATGACTTGGGGAGACCAGCAGGCTTTTTTTTTCCATACTCCCTGAGATAACATTTCCTCACAGTAATTTCCTAACTGCTCTTGTCCCAGGGCATTTGGGGGCATATCCTGCCATAGGGAGAAGTGCTCACCCCTAACACCCCCTCCCCCATCCTGGGCTGCTTTCCCTAAGTGCGCCATCTGCCCACCCACATTGCCCACTTCTAACCACATACCACTTCTCTAGAGCTATCTTTCCGGAGCTTCCCATTAGGAGCTTCCCCCCATTATCCTTTAGCTGCATATTCTGCTAGGTTTCTTCAGAGCACTTTTTGAAAATCAGGGAATACCTGATTTGTTACCTTTTCCTTGTCTCTTTTCCTCCACTAGAATGTGAGCTCCCTGAAAGCAGGGACTGTGTACATCTGTCTTAGTCACTTTTATATCCCCTGCACCTAATATCGCTGCAGAAGCACTCTGATATTGGGTAATTGAATGAGTAACAGTACCAGCTGAAATGCACCAGCCTAGGCTGTGTTAGGTACTAGGAATTCAAAGATGGGGGAAAACACATCACTCCTCCTCAAAGTTTTCAGTTTGGTGGAGCAGATTGATATGTAAACAAATAAGGACAGTACTGTCAATCAGCATACATTCAACGAACTAATTACTACTTCTTGTAGGTCCTGTGGAGAATGCAAAGGAATGTAAACGGCGACATTCCTGCCCTCAAAGAGCTTACAACTAGGAAAACTTAAAATAGTAAAACAAGAAGCCTTCTGTTTTTAGAAAACCAAAATTCATTTTTTAAATTTTTGTTTAATTTTTATTTTTTAAAAAATATTTATCTATTTATTTACCTATTTATTTATTTATTGAGAGAGACAGAGAGCGTATGACCGATGACCGGAGGGAGGGGTAGAGGGAGACAGAATCTCAAGCAGATTCTGTGCTGAGCACGGAGCACAACACGGGGCTCAATCTCACGACCCTCACTACCTGAGCTGAAATCAAAGAGTCTGGCACTTAACCAGGTGAGCCACCCACGTGTCCCCGCTTTTTTAAATTTCTGATTGAGCCCCCAGTTAGTGTTGATTGCAGTAGAGATGGGGTATGGGTGGGTAGTTGCTGCAGAGTTGATATTCATAAATCACCTTTTCCTCTCCCCCAATTAGTGAAGATTGAGCCCACTCCTAGATAGCTCTTTCGTGGCTTATTTATTAGAGATTTCCGTTGCTCTTTTATTTATTTATTTTTTCCAAAGATTTTATTTATTCATTTGACAGAGAGAGAGAGACAGCGAGAGAGGGAACACAAGCAGGGGGAGTGGGAGAGGGAGAAGCAGGCCTCCCGTGGAGCCGGGAGCCTGATGCGGGGCTCCATCCCAGGAGCCTGGGATCATGACCTGAGCCGAAGGCAGATGCTTAACGACTGAGCCACCCAGGCGCCCCTCCGTTGCTCTTTTAAAATGCATATCTCTGGGGCGCCTGGGTGGCTCAGTTGGTTAAGCGACTGCCTTCGGCTCAGGCCATGATCCTGGAGTCCCGGGATTGAGTCCCGCATCGGGCTCCCTGCTCGGCAGGGAGTCTGCTTCTCCCTCT